GCCCCACCTGGATTCTTTTGGTTAAAGTACACTAAGATAACTCAGAAACTGACACATTGGGACACTAGCTTGTAAATAGAACCACTCCATAGAAGACAAAATTAAATATGCCTTAGTACTAAAGAGTTATATTTCAGATGTTCTGTATAGTTCTTGGTGGCACATTTGACTTTTTCATAAAAGTGTCTATAAATTAGGTCCTAAAGTGAATCTGGTAAAATAATATGGCTCAATACGTGTAATAATAGTTTCTAGTACCGCAAATATATAGGTTACATCATCATTTTCTTATAAAAAGCGATACATAACAGGTTTGGAATGTGTTTGTATCAGAATTCTCATAGGAATTGATTTTGTAACTGTATGTATAAAATTTAGTACCAGAATAAATTTCCTAATTTTTAACTTTACTATTATTTCAATAAATCACTGATTCTGATAGGTTCATATTCTTATTTCTATCTAGGTTCTTGAGAATCTTAAATCTTGCCTTCTAGGTCAGTGGTTCTCAACCTTCCTAATGCCACGACCCTTTAATACAGTTCCTCATGTTGTGGTGACCTTCCAGCCATAAAATTATTTTCGTTGCTGCTTCATAACTGTAATTTTGCTACTGTGATGACCCCCGTGAAAGGGTCGTTCAACCCCCAAAGGGGTCGTGACCCACAGGTTGAGATTGCTGTTCTAGGTGATTCCTCTTTCCAAGTCACTTTTCTTAGGAGCTGATCCAGAAGTCGTCCCATTCCAGAGTTCAGTCATGTCGAGCAGTGTTGTCCAGTTGCTACCAAAATCCATTTCAGAACATTTCCTCCCATCTTGAACTTCCCTTCTCCCCACACCTGTCCCACAATACCCCCCAGGGGCCCTTATTCTAGCTGTTGTCACTAGAGTCACCTATCCTACATTTCATATGCCGAAAACCATTGAAGAACACTGCTAGTCTGGGTAGACTAGAGAAACAAGGCATAAACACTCATATTTTATAAGAGTTTTATATAAAGGGTAATTGTACATTAAGCATCCCAATCCAGTCCAGTCCAAGCCCATAAGTCCAACATTAGCCCATATGTCC